CTTTTTTTTTATTTTTTTTTATTCCACACGGACGGAGTCGCGGGCAACAGCTAGGATAAAATATTTATCAAGACTACTTGACCTTTTAAGGGGGATGGTGTGAGTCCCCTTTGGAGATTCTAGAAATCTATGTCAAACTAATATTATAAAGAGCTTTGTTTGATTGTAATGAATAGGCTCAAAAACGACTAGACCGTGTTTAAAAATTCTTTCGCAGTTAGAATGCTGTATAATCCACGAGTAATATAGGCTACATTTTTACTATTTTATTTTAATTTCACGCGGACGAAGTAACAAGGAAAAGCTAGTACTTTATATTCCAGTTGTAGAAAATGAGGAATCTTACCGCTTCTCTAAATATCCAATCTTTTGTCTCAACATCTTTTATGATGTCGTCTCGTTTCTTCATCCATTCGGGGAACTGACCCTTGTCAACTAATTCCATCCATTTCCTCGCATGACGCATCCTGAAAACCAAATTTAAGTAAAATATCGATAACAAAAATATGGAGGACAGCCAATGATCTAGACCAGTTTTAGGAGGCTCCCCTCCTAGACCTTGTGGACCTATCACTCTTGATTTAGGGCCGAGTGGCCGGCGCGCCTAAATGGGGAGTTTTGGGGGAGGCTATTAAATTTAATAATTACAGCTGTTCCCGTGCGATTTTATCAGCATAAATTATTTTATTGTTTGCATGTGTCAAATTGTCAATTGCAAATGTCAAAATGACATGACATGACAAAACTTGGCAAGCTTCCAAGGAAGCAAGATTGCCAAGTTAACTACATCAAGGATGTTGGCAGCAACTTATAGTCTCTTTCCCACATTAGGGTTTTTATACAAAACTTTATCCCCTAAGTTTAATGGCGTGAAAATATGTAGCCTAAAGCGTGACGTTAGTGTAGGGCTTTTTATTGAAAAAAGATTTGTTCAAAAATAAGCTGTAATTGCTGACATGTTAGGCGACAAAGAAGTGTGTGTTTACGATTTATTATTAGTATAATTTGACTTGTTAAAACTAGTTACATTAAAATGGCCATTTATCGAAATTATTGATTTAAGATTAATTCAACTTACTTATTGATAATTTCAGTTGTGTGGAAATCAGCCGGCAAGTCGCCCTGACGATACGGATGTCCTGGACCTTAACAATTATTACTTCATTAATAGTAAACAAATAATCTATAAAGATTTGTATTTTTGTATGTATTGAGGTAACTCAAAAACTACTGGGTCGTTTTCGAAAATTGCTTTACCAATAAATAACTACATAAGCCTTTATTACAATTTTTATTCCGCGCGGAAGAAGACACGAGCAACAACTAGTTTTAAAAATTACCCTTTTTTAATTAAAAACATTATTAGATTTTTGTTAATCGACTATATTTCCTTTAACCATTGGAACTAAGCTGTAGGCTTGTGCTAGGATATGGTTCACAAGTCGAATGGTGGGATTCGAACCCTCGACCGCAAAGTCGGTACTCCGTATCAGTGGTAGTGCCCGCTTTAACATATTAGCACTGCAGGGCACGCCCCCAGTAATACCACGACCATACAGAAGACAGGCGTGAAATGGAAGCAATTCCGTGTTTCGTCTGATGAGTGTGGTGCCGGAGG